CTGCGATCTTTCTTTTTTCCACCAGCAGTTCAGCTGGAGCCGCCTCCACCCACAGCCTTCATTAATCGGCTTTTTGTGTGCCGAAGTCAAAAAGTTGTCAAACTTTGTCAAAATCAAGCGCAGCCGCAACTAAAGGAGGCCGGTTTCCAACTTTGCCGGGGTCTGACTAATGACCCGGGGAAAATGCGACAGTCTCGAAGGTAGAATTAGTCCGTGTAAAGTGACAAGTCTCATCTCCACCCACCGATTCGTGCTCATCGGTGAGCCCACAGTTATTTCCCCTTTGACTACTTCAAATATAAGCTTGTTCTGCTTTTACCGCAGATGTTATTTATTTCGGCAGCGCCAAATGTTGAGGATGAGCGCCGATTTCGCCACACGAACTCCAGCGAGTCTGCATAAAGAGCTCTGCTCGGCTGCGATCTTCCGCAATATTGAGCGGGCAAAATAATCGGAATCTTCGTGCATAATGCTATAAAATTATTAGTGCATTTATGCTCCAAATCTCAGGTCCAGCTTAACAAAAACAATAAAATAAAATAAAATGTATTTTTCGTATTTATATTTTTCGTCAGTAGTCAAGTTGAGAAGCCACAATTTCGTTGTAGATGACAATAAATGATTATTTTATTCTATTCTAAACAATGTGATGTTAAACAGCATCCAGCACAATTAAAGAGTCCATCAGTAGCAATTATTTCAATCACGTCTCCTCTTATTGAGGAAGTTCTCCACCGAGTTGTGGATTTCTAAAAGCTGACTGCTCAACCCAGCAAAATAATGACTCGGCTGCACGGCAGCAGATTTCATGAAATAAATTCGTGGAATAATAACAGGAGCTGAAGAGAAAGCTTTTTGTTCGTTTGCACATAAACACTCTGAATCACCGCAGTGTTGAAAATAGGAAATCAGGATACAATTTCCAGTCAGTAATATAATACAGCTGATTAAAGAGGACACCAGCGCCCAGTATTTACCTTTCTGGTGGAAGCCTTTCCCGCAGAACTCGCACACAAATGGTTTATAGCCTGCGTGGATCCGGACGTGAGTGTTGAGCGTCGAACTTCTGTTGAACGCTTTTCCACACTGGTTGCATTTGTGAGGCTTTTCCTTACAGGTCAAAATGAGAGAAAATAATTCAAACAAAGTCGAGTGAAAAAGCTGGAAAGGTCACAGTGGAACAGTGTCTCACCTGCGTGTGGATGATCTTGTGTCTGCACAGCGTGCTGGCCTGCCGGAATCCTTTACCGCACACCTTACATACGAAGGGCCGGGCCCCCGTGTGCACCGGCATGTGTCTGGTAAGATTGTAATGCGCATTAAAAACCTGCAGACGACACAAAGGCATAAAAATTTTGGTTAACCTTTTTTTTAAAAGGCCAGGGCCGGGTTTTTTAAACCAGGGTTCGGAAAAAAACTAACATCGGCCTCAAAAGTTCATTATTGAGTTTATATAGGTGTGTAGATGTTGGCGCATTTGTTCATGTTTTATATAAAATATAGAATATAAAATATAGAATATAAAATATAGAATATAATAACAATTTAAACTGTACCTTTCCACACACTTCGCAGGTGAAATTTTTGGGTTTTCCGTCCGCACCGCCGCTGCCGCTGAGTTTGCTGTGTGTCTTTATGCCGCTTTTCTCAGCTGTCAGGCCGTGGCTCTCCTTCACTATCTGGTCCAGCTGCCCTGGCAGATGTTCCTTGTGTGGGTATTGAGGTGTGGGCAGCTTGTCGGTGCCCACACCGGTCAGTTTGGCATTCTCCAGCAACAAAAGTCTGTGGTGCGCCGACAGAGAGGCCTGGGCCTGCGGGCTGGAGAGCCAGTGGCCGGCCAGCAGCTCCGACTGCTGGTACGCAGAGTCCAGGTAATTGAAATAGTAGAGCGAGCCACTGCTGGGCACGGCCTGGTTCAGGACCTGAGGTTTTACCACCCTGCTCCCTGACGT